GGCCACGCCATCCTGGCTAGTACAGCCGGAAGTTTTTATCAGGATTTGGTAGGTACAAAGTGCCGGTTGTACCGCTTAGCCAGGATGGCGTGATTGATGACGAATCGCTTGTAAAAACGCGGACAAATATTTGCTCGAGTTACGCTTCTGGTATAACTTCCTATTCTGTGACCAGACGCTTTAAAAAGTTGGATGGATAAATTTGAAACTTTTCTGCAAGATGTTTGCACACGTCATTCGAAAATTGTGATTGCTGGCGATTTCAATTTACCGCGCGATTGCTGGAACTCGCGGGAAAACGAAACTGGCGGAAATGAACGTGCGCTGATATGATTTACTTGGATTTCTCGAAAGCCTTCGATTCTGTTTCCCATCCAAAACTAGGAGGGGTGTGTTTTAAGCATTCCTTATTAACATAATCAGCGCAATCGCAAATTGAAACCTACGCATGCTTTAAAAATATTTTATCTTTGTGATAAAGCGTCGTGATTTCTCATGTATTGAAAAAGTACAGCGCATACCTAAACAAGGAAAATTGCCTTGTTCCTATTCCTCGGCACTCTTAAATGCCTTGCCATGTCCTCATTGAGGCATTGCATTTGCATGCCGACATTATATATAGTTAATACGGTTTTTCCCTAAGAGCCAGCTGATGAAGTGTTTATTGTTTACGTTTAATATTTCACATCTCTTGAAAGTTAATTTCTCATTTCGGTAACGAGTGCTAGTGTTTTCATAAGTTGCTCATGGTGGATATGTATCCAAAAGCTTCAGATGCTGTAAAATATGATAGTATGAATATTAGTCTAGAAGGGTAAATTTTTAGAAATTCATGGCAGGGCGAAGTTAGCAAGAAATTTGCGAAACAATTTAGACGATGCTAGACGTATTTGACATGTTATGGCCTTTCGACGACTTGAGCCGCATAATAACACAATTTTTAGCGATCTTGTTTGCGTTGTGTGTTTCGGATATTGTTTATGTTTATATGTTAGTTCTTCAGAAAAGCGCAAGAAATGATATTATGTCATTAGCATATCAATTTATTAATCATCTAGAGAGTAAATTTACGGATACCAAAGTTGTTGTATTCACAGAAGGATAAAATTAACACAGCCGGGCCGTGCGCGAAATTAGACAGTTCAACTTTGCGCGAGTTATTTATCACCGTTTCGCAATGTGGGAATAAGTTGACCGCATGAAATTACTTTTGAATACATTCTCCAGAATGGTCATCGATCAAATTTTTAAGTTTTTCATTATAAAGGTAACAAAATAAGGTTTTAAACGAGCTTTGCGATCTATCCCACCGCTGACCAGCCCCTTTGTCAGAAAAAACAGTGATCTTTCAGAAGCTACCATGGACAAACGGAACGGAATAATATATTCATTTTCCATCACGAACTAAGGAATATGACAAGTAAAAATGATCTTTCAAAAAAATTGAATATTCATCGGTGGTTAAGCGGCCAAAGCAGTTTGTTTACAAACTATTCGTTCCAGCTTCAGATTGAAATTGTATGTGGAGCTGGCTCCAGATTCGCCAATCTGGAGCTGCCAATCTGGAGCTGTCTGGCTCGTCATTTGCTAGTGCGTTCCTTTGATCGAGACTTTGCTGGTGTGTTCCCGGGTATAAATAGCCGGGCGGAATTAATACCGTCGCACGGCGCGAAGCGCCGCCGGCCCGGGGATTAAGATTTTAACAGGCATTTGATCTAGTTATTGCCATTGGGAATTATTGTCCATTACCATTGTGAGTGATGATGTTTACCACCATCCTTCTTTTTTCTCTGATGCTGGCTTCTTGCCAGCCTTTTTCAATCTCGTACTAACTTTCTACTTAAAAATAAAATTTCACATAATTAAACAATTAATGCACTTCAATACTTAACAGTTCCCATTATAAGAAAATGCAACTACTCATCCATAAATTATGGATGGTTAATGGACCATTTGCATTATAGACTAAATTTTGATCTTGACAAAAATTTTATCACAGCTTTAAAGAGCATCACCAAATTAGCAATATTGCAAAGTTTTGTTGCGAAATATTGTAAAATGCGGATAATATATATATTAACAAATATTCCAACCGTCCCGGTTTACCCGGGACTGTCCCGGTTTGGACTGTGTTGTCCCGTCGTCTTATCCTGTTTTCGTCTTATTGTCCCGGTTTCTGTAGTATTTTAACAGTTGTATTCTTCAAATAAGGCTCATGTGACAAATATTAATGAAATTCGTTTGGTTCCAATACATGTTAATGAAATGGGAGCTTCTAGTTTCCTCAAACTGACAATTTGCCGAGTTTGTCGCCGATCGTTGTAATTCTCGTGACATACGTTGTTTTGACAATTTAGCGCTCGCTTCAATTCCTATTCCTTCCGCCAGGACTACATGAAGTAAAGCAGCGTAACAGAATTAAGCGGGCGCAATAATCGCGGGCTCTTGAATAAGAGAGGATCACAGTTCAAAAGACCAGGGGCCGGTGTATCAAAGGCGTTTAACTTAACTCTTTCTCAGCCGGCTACATTTTTCACGACAACGGCGACATTTTGATTCAATTGTTTTATAACGTAAATATTTCAGCGCGTATTCACCCCCCTTTAAAACAAAGAACACCATTGAAATCCTAACAAAATAACCTTTTCATCGGGGGGTTCAATGAGGTCAAAACAAATGCACAAACCGAAACAATTGTATATTTACTCACCGCTTGGCCAAACATTCTGTATTTTCATATGGAGAAAAAGTTGAATATCTTCTAAAGGCATCTAAACTCTTCAGAATTCGCCACAAGTTAATATGAGTGAAATATTCCTTGTATTCAAGCGCTTTTATGTAGAAAGTTTCGTTTGAATACGGCGAGTAGAAATGTTTATTTTGAATTTTTCAAAATATCGGGTTTCATCGGGTTTTTTACTTGCACGCGCGTGCTGCACGTAAAATTGGCCAATAAGGAGTAACCCGTAGCCCAATGCACGTGTATGGTGGCCCAGAACTGCCAAATTAATTTTACTTTTTTTTTCAAATAAATTTAAATCTTTTATAAAATTGATTTTAATGTAAAAACATGAAGCTTATTAAAATAAAAACAAAACGTTTTCCACGTGGCCCAGAACTGCCAACTGCCAAAAAATAATTAGATGCGATTACAAATAATTAATTTTCTGAGCCAGCGATACAGTTTATTGCATAACCGCATTAAAAAAACAACATGGCGGGCGAGAGAGGATCTTGGAAAAGTGACAGTAAACTGGAGGAGGATTTGAAGAAATACGTAGCAACGAACATGCAGCGGTTGGAGATTCTCGACTTTATGAAAAAGAAATATTGCATTTATAAGTGGAGTTTGAGAACTCTAGATCGTAGATTGAGACATTTTGGAATAAATTATATTGATCGCGATGTACCTCTGGACGTTGCAAGGGAAGCAGTTAGGAAAGAGCTTGATGGCCCAGGAGTAATGCTTGGTTATAGGGCGATGACCCAAAAGATACGCCAGAAGTACGAGTTAAAAGTCCCTAGAGCTCGTGTTCATGATTTGATGTTCGATCTTGATCCGGATGGCTTAGCTAGAAGAGCTCCTGGTGCCAAGAAGAAAAAACCCAAAGGTCACTTTGTAACCCTTGGACCAAATTGGACATATTCAATGGACGGACACGACAAGATGATGGGGTATCAAAGTTCGACTTTCCCTATTGCAATATATGGGTGTATCGATACTGCCAGCAGAAAATTAATTTGGCTCAAAGTATGGACAACCAATTCCAACCCAGTATTTGTTGGTAAGTGGTACTTGCAGTCATTGTTGGAGACTGGTATCTTACCAAACTACATCCGCCTAGATAAGGGAACTGAAACCACAACCATGAGCACCATTCATGCATACCTCATCAGCCAACAAAGCCAAGGAGATCTTAATGACCCTACTGATTCAATTTTATTTGGACCCTCGCCTTCAAATCAGGTTTGTATATTATTTACATGTGTATATATATAACATTCAGTCAAATTTACACACTTTTATTCTGATGATTACCCTCAACACTCAAATGTTGACATTATCTATCTTCTAATTTGTAGATTGAAAGATGGTGGAGGGAACTACATGAACGTTTAGAGCAGTATTTTAAAATTGGATTGAATTGGTTAAAAGAAGAATGCCATTATAACCCACAAGATGAAACAGACAGGTATATGCATCCAACTGAATTACCATACCTCATATACTAGCTAAGCATGTAATGTATTACTTCAAGTTTTCACACAATATAATACTGCCTGTCTCAAGCAATAAATCACTTCAATTGAGGTAAGCAAAAAGTGCAGGTGGGTGTATGTTTGTCTAAATACAACATGACCACCATATTCACAGGAACTTGCTCTTACCAAGTGTCACTAAATATTAAGAGTAAATTACTCAAGTCTAAGAGTTGAAAAAGTATGCACCCAACCACAGTGTTTACATTACTTTTTCAACAGGTCAATGCTTGCTTATATCATGATTCCTATGATGCAAAGAGAACTTGACGAATTCCGTCTGACAATATGGAATACCCATAGAATCCGGGCACAGAAAGAAACTCTCATGGCAGATGGTATTCCAGACCATATTTTTGAATTTCCAGAAAGATATGGAATGGAAAAGAAAGGTTACTTGTCTTATATTGCACGAATGCATGCAATGTATTATCTTATCTTTATAAGCAATATTTATATTACTTCAGTTGAACATCGATATTCCCTTACATTTTGGTATCTCCTTACATTTTGGTATCTCCAAGCCATATTTATATATACGAATTTAAATTCCTCACCACAGATTGTGTGTTAACGAAAATGTGTCCAAATTCCATTTGAATATTTGCAAGACAACTGCATTTCCCAGTATATATTATTACTAGCATATTGTTTGTTTGTCCAAAAAGTTGCACTTCAGCACACATGCTACCCCATGCAGATCAACCTCAAAAATGTGGATTGGATTATGTCATAAAAGCATGGCTGTGACATGCCACACCAGTTTCTTTGCATTGATTGGCAATACTGAAAATCCACCATTCAGGTCTCCCAAGACTTATTTGTTTCAGGCATGTTTGAGTCCAGATAATTTATTCAAGTTACTAGTAATGCAAAGGCTTATTGAAGAAGGGGGAAATAGAGAGGAAGGTATACTGTATATAGTGCAACATACAGTACCATTTACCCCCCCCCCAAAAAAAAAGTAACACATGGTGACAAGACAGAATGGAGAATTCACACAATTTTTCTTCATTTATAGGTTTTAAAGTAAACAATCAAGATCTTCAAGTTGTAGCAGAATTATCAGGAGTCTTGGAAGCTCCAGATGATTTTCTGTCATTAGAGTTACGCACTTTGTTCAATGATTTGCTACCGGAGCCAGAAAATGTCCAGTGTAACGAATTTGTTCAAAAATATTTGTTACTTAAACAAAAATACCAGGATTCAATAAGTGAATAAAATTTTGTAAAATGATGATCATGTAAAATGCTGAAGCATCAGTTAAAACAAGAAAACAAACATATTATTGTTTTTTTTAAAACAAGAAACAAACATATTATACTATACTGTCTTAGTATCCATTTATAAACTTTGTGTGCAGCATGTGAATGTCACAGTTTACAGTATTCATGTTGATGAACAATTTAGATGATACTTCATTACCTAGAAGTTTTATTATTGATATTCTATAAATATCATATTAGGGTCAGTCAGTTGATTATCCACACCCCTTCTCCTACTCTTCCTTTGTATGTAAATTTCAGATTGGTTGCAGTGTATGTTCTTAATTGAAATACAAGACTAAAGGCATATAATCAATTAATATTAATTGAAATAATGAATTTTCTAAAATTTCTTATGAATGGATTAATGCCTTTATAATGGCTGTTTTCCATTGTCTTTGTAGTCGTCTAAAGGGGTGTGGATTTTGAATTGAATAACTTTTAAGAGTAAAAGAACTACAATGTCGAACAAAATGATAAATTATAGAAACACTTTAACTGGTCATGTAAGTTTTCAAAAGACATATTCTCATGTTCTTGTATCTTTACGCATCATTCTCTACTTCTTCCGGCACGAGACCAAGGAGGTTACAAAATGCATTACACTTATGAGCATTGAAGAAATTCAAGTATGCTTCTGTTGATAGATTTCCAGCACAGAAGAGAAGGCGGTCGTCATTGTCATATATGCCAGAGACTGTGGCAATTTCAGGATCTGTTAGGTTATACTCACCTCCTTGGATATCTACCAAGAAGAGTTTCCTGTTCGACTTTACAAACGAAAAATGAACAAGGCTTTCGGCCTTTCTTTGCTTCTCAATGTCCTTGTTATGTGAGATTGTTCCATCGTTGTTTACATATTTTTGGAAAGTACCGGATGCAAACTGTTCTATTGTTACAATTTGGTTTGTGCGCTGAACCTTTCCCAAAAATGCATCAACATACCGAAATGGCTTTCCAAATACATTTTTGTTTCCATCTTTCTGTACTTTTGCTGCAACTTGTTCTGCGAAATTATTTGCCAATGCTTGCATCTGAATAGACTTTCGTGCATGGTCTTCTTGAGTCTCGTTTACTGCTCCAATCAGTTCAACTGTTTTAGGTAAGAAGCGTTTCACAATGTAGGTTTTACCTTCAAAATTTGGTGATTTCGAGGTAGCCTTGTATGCAGCACGAAAACCACCTTCAGCAAACTTCTCCTTTTCAATTGTAAAGTGTACGGATACTGGCGGTGACCAGACCATATCATTAATATTAAATCTTGAAACTTCAACAATCTCCTGCGAAGTTTCCGTAGCCGTTATAGCCTGTCCGAGTCTCATCATAGTTGTAATTCCAAGGCTTTTTGGGACCTTATTAACTGGAGCTCGAAAGGAACTTTCTAGTTTACGTTTAACGCCAATGGCACTCGTCGAATGAGGGACGATAATTGGATCAGCGCGCGTCGACGTTGATGCTTTTGATCCAAATCGGACTGGGCTGGAGTTTATGCCACTGTATCGACTGTATGCAGTACTACTACCCTCGCTGTTCATTTGATCGTCCGTCATAACAAATCTAATATGAAATAACTTGAGGCTTGGTAATTGTGAGATCTTCGTGCATGACGGGCCACGTTCGCTTGCAAGAACATCACATGACATGCCTTTAGCTCGTTTCTTGAAGTGCTTGTTACAAGCAGCAATGATATTGGGAATAGTGACCTCTTCAAAAAAGAATGGTACGAACTCTTGCGGACCGGTTCTCTCGTATTTTTTAGCTTTCCCGGTTGCATCAGTTGCTAGAGGCTGCACCGTGATTTCTTTGTTTTCCAAAATACTTGAACCACAAGTGTTCTTACTTGCTTCGCCACATTTTGTTTTGTTTTGCTTTGTAGCAACATTTGTTCGTTTTAATTTTATATTTTGTGCAAATTTCTTCCACTTACTCATTTCAGACATGGCAAAATGGCAAAACAATATGGCGATGAGCGCGCCAAGAAAATTAGCTATAATTATCCCTGACTATCTATCCACTGACCACTGTTACTCTTCATATATACTGTAAGTACTTCATTATACCTTCATTTAGAAATTACGCAATAATCGCATCTAATTATTTTTTGGCAGTTGGCAGTTCTGGGCCACGTGGAAAACGTTTTGTTTTTATTTTAATAAGCTTCATGTTTTTACATTAAAATTAATTTTATAAAAGATTTAAATTTATTTGAAAAAAAAAGTAAAATTAATTTGGCAGTTCTGGGCCACCATACACGTGAAAATCATGCTGCAGATGTAATTTGACCTATAGAATCGATTGCCGACGTTTTCCGAGCGCTAGGATGTAAACACGCGATGTTTTCGCAAATCTAAAGTGTATTTCCGGTCGAAAATATCCCGCTGACTTCACTAGTATCACAACAGATTGAAATACCGAAATAAAAGATGAAAGACTAA